CAAATCATGCACATTCTTAACATTCATACAATTTGTAATGTTTCTGCAAATAGTCCTTAAATTTTTTCCAGTCCTCTTCCATTGTTTCTTCTCCCAAATCTCGGATTCTGCCACTCATTTCAGCCAGTTCCATATAATCCATCAGTTGCGTCTGCCACTCCTCCAGTGTGGGTAAATCTTGTGTCTTCCAAAACTTTGCAATAAGAATTCTTGCTGCTGTAGTTGCATACATAAACAAAGTTCTATCCTTCTTTAACCCTTTCTGGTCGACAATGCCCAGGAGGAAGGCCTTTGGCTTCTTAGGAAAGGTATACCTAAATACCTTTTTTAACTCATTGTAAATCACTTCCCAGAAGGCCTTCACTTTCGGGCATGTCCACCAGAGGTGAAAAAAGGTCCCCTCAGCCTCCTTACATTTCCAACATTTATTATCAGACAGGTGATATATCTTAGCAAGCTTGACTGGGGTCATGTACCACCGGTATATCATTTTCATAATGTTTTCCTTCAGGGCATTACATGCCGTGAATTTCATTCTGGTGGTCCATAACCTTTCCCAGTCCTCAAACATGATGTTGTACCCAATATCCTGTGCCCATTTTATCATGGCAGATTTAACTGTCTCATCTTGTGTATTCCATTTAAGCAGCAAGTTGTACATTCTCGATAGTACCTTAGTCTTTGGTTCTAAAAGTTCTGTCTCTAGTTTCGATTTTTCCACCTGGAACCCTATTTTTTTGTCCAATTTAAAAACCTCTTGAATTTGAGCATAATGTAACCAATCTCGCACCTTGTTTTTTAATTTCTCCAAGCTCTTCAACCTCCAACTGTCTCCAGTTTTCTCTATTATCTCCCAATATTTCGGCCAACTGGCCTCCATATTGGGTCTTTTTCTAGCCTTGGCCTCCATTGGTGATAGCCACCTCGGGGTCTTGCCTTCTAATAAGTCTTTATATTTTGTCCAGACCATAAATATTGATCTTCTGACAATATGGTTTTTGAAAAGCTTGTGAGTTTTTACCTTGTCGTACCATAAGTATGCATGCCAACCAAAAGTGTTGTCAAACCCTTCCAGATCTAGGACATCAGTATTCTCCAGAAGTAACCAATCTTTCATCCAGCAGAAAGCTGCAGCTTCATAATACAACCTTAAATCTGGCAGGGCAAACCCCCCTCTTTCTTTAGAATCAGTTAATATTTTAAACTTAATTCGGGGCTTTTTGCCCTGCCAGACAAACTTAGAGATATCCTTCTGCCACTTTCCAAAGCACACTACTCTGTCCACAATCTGTAGGGTCTGGAACAAAAATAACATTTTAGGCAATACATTCATTTTTATAGCTGCTATTCGACCCAACAAGGAAAGTTTCAATCTTGACCAAATTTCTAAGTCTGTTTTAATTTCTATCCAACATTTTTCATAATTATCTTTAAATAAATTCAAATTTTTAGCAGACAAATGAACCCCTAGGTATCTCACTTTTTTGACCACATTTAACTCTGTCTCCTTCTGAAACCCATCTGTTTCTGATGTTGACAATTTTTTTGCCAAAACCTTGGTTTTTTGCTTGTTCAGCTTAAATCCCGCCACCCGACCAAACTCATGTATCAGTTCTAATGCTCTTTTTGTACTAGATTCTGGCTCCTGTAATGTTAAAACCAGATCATCTGCAAAGGCTTTCAGTTTGTATTGTTTCACTCCGACCTGTATTCCCTGCACCGACCGGTCCTCCCTAATCATATTCAGGAGCACCTCCAGGACTGAAATGAATAAAAGAGGGGATAAGGGGCACCCCTGTCGTGTCCCTTTTTCAATTTTGAACTCGTCTGTCACCACATTGTTCACTATCAGTTTAGCCTTTTGCTCTGAATAGATTGCTTCTATTCCATTTTCAAACCCCCGTTTTTAATATTCTGTTGGGAGCCGTCCAGAGTGGCTGGGGAAACGCAGCTGGATGGGTAGGGTATAAATCATAAATTATTATTGTTATGTACTGAGTCGAATAGGATTCAGAATGCAGCAGTCTGATTGGTCCTAGAATAAGATTCAGAATGCATCAGTCTGATTGGTCCTAAAACAATAAGATTCAGGATGCAGCAGTCTGATTGGTCCACAGGAGCCACCCAATCCAGCTCCAGGTGGAAGTGAATCCGCAACCTGATTAGCCAACAGGAGAATCCCGGAATTAGCCAATCACGTGGGGCCCATCGTGTAAATAATGTATATAAAGCAGACATTCTGGGGAAACTTCCATTCCTCCTCACCACTATGAGCTGAATAAAGAGCATGAAATCCACTCTTGACTTGAGTATATTATTATTATTGTTGTTATTATTATTCTGTGAGGACAGCTCCCTTTACAAATCACAGTTCCCTGGGATTCTTTGGCTGTTAAAGTACGATAGGAATGGTGCAAATGTGGGTAGAATCAAAATGTACTTAATTTGCAGCTGTAACTTGCATTGATGGCCACCAGTTTATGAGATGCCTTTTTAAAAATGGAGGAAAGGCTACCAGGCACCTTGGCTTGATTAAGTACAACCTCAATGTTCAGAGGCAGCAGTATATCACAAAATATTAGCTGATAAAGAGGATTGCAATGCAGAGAGGGTTGTTGGTTTCCTGGAGGTAGCTGGTGGACCTCTGTTGTGTTGGAAACAAACAGGTTTCTGGACCAGGTGGATTCAACTTCCATCAGCCTCTGCTAGCATAGCCAGTGACTAGGGATGATGGGAGTTGTAGTCCAACAGTGGTAACAATCTGTGGTGGTCTTGTAGTAAGGTTAAAGCTTACTGGGAAATGATATATAATGAATTAAAAAAGATGTTCAAAATAACTTTTATTTTGAAAAACCAGAAGATTTTCTTTTGGGAACTATAGGGCCAGAACTACCTAAATTGTATAGAAATTTATTTATGTTTGCTACTACAGCAGCAAGAATGTTACTTGGCCAAAAGTGGGGGGAAAGCAGAAGTCCCAGCAAAGGAAGAATGGATACAAAAACTTGTGGAATATACAGAAATGGCAATACTTGCTGGAAGAATAAGAAACCAAGATAACAAACTCTTTATAAAAGAATGGAAATGGTTTATTGAATGTTTACGGATAAATTGCAAACAGATTAAAACATTAGCAGGATTAGCGTAGTAGCCTGCAGTTTTGTAAGAGTATATATTTACAGTAGATAATTAAAGGAGTAAATTAAATAAATTTGGATATGCAGAAGATATGGGGGGGAAAACAAATTTAAGGAACTGCAGAAAGAGGGGGAAGGAAGTCAATTTTTGAAATGTTTAATGGATTGTAAAATTAATGAAATGTATAAATTTGAAAAGTATAAATAATAAACAAAGCAAAAAAACCCCAATGATAACAACCAGAGAGCCACAAATCAACCATCCAAGTCAATTCCACCAAGGTTCTTCTTTCCTCTGACTGGTAAATGGAACATACATGTTGAGAAGCAGTCTACCTCTGAATAACAGAACCATGTGAGCAGGGCCAGATTGAAGTTTGATGAGGCCCTAAGTTACTGAAGGTAATAGGGCCCTTTATGTGTCCAGCTGTCCTTTGTCAACAACAAATTGTCACTCTTTTTTGTGTTGAATATATGCTATATGGTAATTTATGGACCTAATAGGTATCTAAAGCCATTTGCGCATGTTGCCATGCAACCAGTCCATGCAGAATGTAGGCACCCTATATATAGAAATGAGCAAACCAGTGATATTTTAGGGAGCAGGCTAGCAGGCGGGGCCCATGACTTACATCATAGGAGCCTACACAACACAAAACACGGTTGCTGTATGTAGGTTTTATTTTATTTGTTTTTTATCTTATATTTTGGAAATGTACATCCAGGGTTTTTTTCCCTTTACATTTTTTGGGAACCCCTAAGAGAGTGGGGCCCTAAGCTATATAGCTTGTTTAGCTTACAGGTGAAACTTGAAAAATTAGAATATTGTGGAAAAGTTCCTTTCTTTCACTAATTCAACTTCAATGGTGAAACTAATATATGAGATAGACTCATGACATGCAAAGCGAGATATGTCAAGCCTTTATTTGTTCTACAGGCAAAACTCGAAAAATTAGAATACAGTGGCGCCTCGCAAGACGAAAATAATCCGTTCCGCGAGTCTCTTTGTCTAGCGGTTTTTTTCGTCTTGCGAAGCAACCCTATTAGCGGCTTAGCGGATTAGCACTATTAGCGGTTTAGTGGCTATTAAAGGCTTAGCGGCTTAGCGGCTAAAAGGCTATTAGCGGCTTAGCGGTGTAGAAAAGGGGGGGGAGCGGGAAAAAATCGCAAGACTCGCAAGACGTTTTCATCTTGCGAAGCAAGCCCATAGGGAAAATCGTCTTGCGAAGCAACTCAAAAACGGAAAACCCTTTCGTCTAGCGGGTTTTTCGTCTTGCGAGGCATTTGTCTTGCGGGGCACCACTGTATCGTGGAAAAGTTCCTTGATTTCAGGAATTCTGCTTAAAAGGTGAAACTCATATATGAGATAGACTCGTGACATGCAAAGCGAGATATGTCAAGCCTTGATTTGTTGTCATTGCGATGATCAGCTGATGAAAACCCCAAATTAACAATCTCAGAAAATTAGAATATTCAAGGAAATCAGCAAAACAAGGTTTGCAAATCGAGCAAGATTGGACCTCTGAGAAGTAGAAGCATATCTTGCTTTGCATGTCATGAGTCGATCTCATATATTAGTTTCACCTTTTAAGTTGAATTACTGAAATAAAGGAACTTTTCCGCGATATTCTAATCTTTCGAGTTTCACCTGTACACATAATTCTGGCACTGCCTGAGAGGTTAGCGAGGCTCCGAGCAGGAGACTAGGGGCATCATGGCTGAGTTGGGGATTTGAACCTCTGCGCCCCCGTTTTTCCGAAGCAACTGCAAAAGTCGCACCAGAGCGAATGGATCTATCACCCTGTCCCAGTTGCACTGCCAGCAGGTCAGCGACCTCAGGGTGCTCTGGAGGAGAAGAAAGGTCAGCCAGAATTGCCAGGCGCCGCGTGCGAGTCTCCAGCTACCAATCAGCCCACTTTGAACCTCTCTCTGCCTGTGTACAGTACAAAGTCCAGGCCTGCCAGGAACCAGCTTAAATGAATTAGCCGGTCTCTTTCGAGCTTCCACCAGCCCAAGAACGAACAATCTTGCAAAGGTCAGTGTCAGAATTCTAATATCTATTCCCTTTCTCTCTCTCTCTGTTGGAACTGATTCATAAGCCCCATACGCTCCGGCCATTTACAGACCCTGTTTTTATTTTTGTATAAGATTTACAGGCATACAAATCGCAAACACACAGATCACATGCATTCCCAATATAGGACTCATATATGTTTGACTTCCCTTCTCCCCCTTTGTGGTTCCTTTTTAAATTTATCTTTTTTAAGGCTGCATTTTCCACATTTTTAAGCCATTCTTTAATTTCTCTTGCTAGCGTTTAACTGCTTGGTTTACATTAACCCTGCTAATTAACTTACTTGCATGCAAGAATTTTTGAGATATTCCACAATTTCCCCCCAATCTTTAATAATTTCTTCTTCTTCTTGGGTTTCTTATTACACCTGTTAAACGGACCCTGTTTTCTGCTAAATCACCGTCTCACCAGTATGCCCTGGTTTTTGTCTTTAGCGTTTTGCTTTATAATCTTTATTTGTAACTTTTTTGTGTGTTTACTGTGTTTCATTTTGCTCGAAATGCTTATAAAACCACTTGACGGATGTTTCCGAAATGTGAAGCTGTATATAAATTTGCTTTTAAAAAAAGTATGTGATGAAAAGATAACCACCTCATCTTGTAAATCGGGACACAAACACGGGGGCAGGTTCGGAGGAAGCTTACAATATTGTCAGTCAAGCCGCTGTTGCAAAAAAAAGAGAAAAGCAGCTAATAAATTTAATAAATAATAATAATAAATCCTAATAATGTCTACTCAGAAGTAAGTCCTGTTGAACTCACTGGGACTTACGCCCAGGCTAGTGGGTTTAGGGCTGGAACCTCCCCAACCCCAATTTTTATTTACGTATACCTTTTTTAAAAAATCCTGTAACGTGTGCATGCCAAGACACGTGTTTACCGCTGCACCAGGGAGCAGGGCTTGTATTCTGTCATGAATTGGAGGCATCATGCGTGAAGCTGCCGAGACCCTCCCCCTGCACACGTGCACGGAGGCTGACCCGAAGCTCTTTCGATTCATTCCCAAAGAAGCCCATTTTCTGTCCCGCGCGGCTTGCTGGGTTTTGCAGTTCGCCTCGAACAGCTGCTGCCGGCGAAGCCTCGTGGGCGTGGGTGAAAGACAACTACATTTCCCAGCGTGCTTTGCGAGACGCTTTGCGCGACCGGGCAACCAGGAAGCTCCCTCTTTTGCGAATGGCATTGCATCAGGGTGCTCTATCCTTCGGGAATTCCTGTGCGAATTGTATGAAGTTGCAATCATTTAAGCTGCAGTCCTGAATGCATCTCTCGCTGTGTTCTTTGGATTGCTGCGAAGGGCTGAGTAATGTGGATTATAGCCAGGTATCTCTCAATATATGTATGCATATTTTGGAAAAAATGATTGTATTTTGATTTGCAAAAAGAGGCGTTTCCTAAATGGATGCAGCCAGCAGGGCTTCAACAGAAAGCAGCAGCACACGCTATTTCCTTTTGCTGGGCTGCCGTGGAAGAAGTTTTGCATCTAGTGGCTTTTAATGTTTAAGAGGAAGAAAGAAAACTAGAACTCTCCCAGGCAGAGATACCCAACAAGAGTCTGGCAGCAGGCATAAGAAGCTGCCTTAAAACTGAGTCAGAGCATTGGCCCATGTAGCTCAGGACTGCCTACACTGGCAGGCAGCAGCTCTCCACAGTTTTCGAATATGGCTGGGGTTGAATCAGGAGGTCTTTTTGCATGCAGAGCAGCCGGTGATATACTCCTGTTCTGACAATTTCAGCATTAGGTGAAAGCCATTTGGGGGAAGACATGGTGGGAAGCGGGTGGCACTGTGGTCTAAGCCACAGAGTCTAGGGCTTGCCGATCAGAAGGTCGTGGTTCGAATCCCTGCAATGGGGTGAGCTCCCGTTGTTTGGTCCCTGCTCCTGCCAACCTAGCAGTTTGAAAGCATGCAGTGCAAGTAGATAAATAAGTACCGCTCTGGTGGGAAGGTAAACAGTGTTTCCGTGCGCTGCTCCAGTTCGCCAGAAACGGCTTAGTCATGCTGGCAACATGACCCGGCCTATAGAGCGAGATGAGCGCACAACCCCAGAGTCGTCCGCATCTGGACCTTACTGTCAGGGGTACCTTTACCTTTGCCTTTTATGGCTGTTAAAAGTACAGTCATACATTGGGTTACAGGCGCTTCAGATTGCGTTTTATCGGGTTGCGGACAGCCGGAAGTACCGGAACGGGTTAGTTCTGGGTTTCGGTGGTTGCGCATGCACAGAAGTGCTAAATCACAACCCGTGTGTGCGCAGACGCACCGCTGCGGGTTGCGGACGCTGCGGGTTGCGAACGTGCATCCTGCATGAATCACATTCGTAACCCGAGCGTCCACTGTACTATAGGAATGGTGCGAATGTGGGTAGAATCAAAATGTACTGAATTTGCAGCTGCAAGTTGCATTGATGGCCACCAGTTTATGGGATGCCTTTTAAAAAATGGAGGAAAGGCTACCAGGCACCTTGGCTCGATTAAGTAGAACCTCAATGTTCAGAGGTAGCAGTATATCACAAAATATTAGCTGATAAAGACGATTGCAATGCAGAGAGGGTTGTTGGTTTCCTGGAGGTAGCTGGTGGACCTCTATTGTGTTGTAAACAAATAGGTTTCTTGGAGGTCTTTTTGCATGCAGAGCAGGCGATATACCCTTGTTTTGCTGAGCAGCCACAATTTGAGCATTTCCCAGTCTGCAAAGGGCGCTGTGTCTTGTTGCAACATCCTGTAACTTTCCCTCTCCTCCTGCGCCCTTTGTGTTGCCTTCATCAGTTATCTTTTCAGGGATCTCTACGCTCCGCCCCCACCCTAAGCCTTTCTGAGGCTATCTTGACCTGGGGAAACATGTACAGTATTTCAAAGTTGGGGAGGAAAACCCACGTGGGTTAGACTCACCTCCTGCTGCCTGGTGCCGAAATTCTCATCTGGGAGAAAGCAGCGCCCCGTAAGTTTAACAGATTTGTGCTTTGCTGGCTTAAGACCTGTGGGTGCTTCTTACTTACTGAGCAGTCACCCTGATTTGCTTTCAGAGGGAGATGAATCTGGCAACCTTACAGGATTTTTTCCACAGTGCAGTTCTGTTTATTTGGAAGCTAAATCTTGTTGTTTCAGTGACGGTTGTCGCCTAGACAAACCTGTTCTCCTCCAGATGTTGTTCTGCTCCATAAAATCAGAGAATTGTAGCGTTGGGAGAGACCCCCCCATTGTCTTACCCCCTGCAATGCAGGAATCTCAGCTAAAACATCCATGGCAGATGGCTGTCCAACCTCTGCTTAAAAACCTCCGAGGAGAGAGAGTCCCATCACCTCCTGAGGGAATCCGTCCCGCTGTCAGACAGCTCTTCCTGTCAGAAAGTTCTTCCTGATGTTTCGTCGGAATCTCCTTTCTTGGAACCTGAAGCCATGGGTTCAAGTCCTGCCCCCACCATCCCTTGCTCAGGCTGATAGGAGCTGGCGTCCAATGACATCCGTAGGACCACAAATTGCCCCTGAAAGTGTGTTGTTTAGGCCTGCAGTCTTAGTGTGCTTCCATTTGACCTTTCAATTGAGCGTTCACCCTGATTTGTTTACAAGGAAATTAATGGCATTACATCAAAGGAAGTGGTACTCACACTTTCCAGTTCATTTTCACATAACTTAATGCAAAAAAATTCTGATCTTTTGGAGATGTGTTGCCCCAGACCTCCCAACCAATTATAAGTCTGCATGTGATTGAATCCCACCTGAGAATAGTGACGTAAGTGCCTTTTTGTTTTCTGAAGTGTGGTGTATTGGTTAAGAGTGGTAAACTTGTAATCTGGTGAACCGGGTTTGCTTCCCCGCTCCTCCGCATGCAGCTGCTGGGTGACCTTGGGCCAGTCACACTTCTCTGAAGTCTCTCAGCCCCACTCACCTCACAGAGTGTTTGTTGTGAGGGAGGAAGGGAAAGGAGATGGTTAGCCGCTTTGAGACTCCTTCGGGTAGTGATAAAGCGGGATATCAAATCCAAACTCCTCATCCTCTTCTCTTAAGGATGGCACCTTTGGTGATATATAAAAATATGAGTGAAATAACAACCAGCTTTCGGTTTGCGTTTGGGAAAGGAGGTTTAGGCTTCTGTGCTGGAACCTTCTGCCATTGTTTCTCCCCACCTCTGTCTCTCCAGAACTGAAAGGTGATAAATTGCTATTTCTTCTAAGAATTAATGGAGGTCGTTCTGCTGGCGACTGGGTGCCTTTTGGGTTTCTTTCTGGGAACAAGGGCCTTGGGAGATAATTGTGAAAATTTGGCAATGAACTTTGGAGCAAAAAGAAGTCTTACGGCATTCACAGGGAGCATGGGTTATTGTTTTTAGCTACACTGCGGACGAAGAACTGAAGAAAGAATGAATACCTATTGCTGACTTTTCCTTAAGCTAATGCTTGGCTTGGTGGAAGAAGGTGGACAGAGAAAAGTACCCCCCCCCAAACACCATAGCACTAGAACTGAATGTTGGAAGGTTCAGGACAGACAAAAGAATGGATTTCTACAAACAGTGCATAGTTAAACTGTGGAACTCACTGCCACATGAAGCAGTGATGGCCTGGGTGAAAATAAGGTTAGACAAATTCATGGAGGATGGGGCTGTCAATGGCAACTAGCTTATGATGCCCGGCTCTGCCTCCACGGTTGGAGGCAGTGATGCTTCTGAATACAAGTTGCTGGAGAGCATGGAGGTCTTGCGTCCTTCTGGTTGGTCACTGTGCTGTTGAATTTTCATGAGACCATAAGAAGTTTGCAAACGGATGTGGAAAAGTGATTAAGAGTGGAAAACGAGAAGCTGAAATCGACCAGGTCACCCATCCCTGATTGAAGCTCAAGCACATAATGCACATTTCCCTCTGGGCATATTACAGTGGCAGGTGTCCAGATTTCACTGGCAATGTGCTTTGGATTGTAAGCAAAGGGTTTATCTTTTAAAAAAGTTGTAGCTTGGGAAAAAGGAAGGTAGGAGCAGGGGCCCCAGAACCCCTTGCAGAAGACTCCATGGAGTGCCACGCAACAGGGCCCTTGCATTCATCAGCACATAACACTACAGGTATTTTTGGATCAAATTATCACAAAATTGCAAGTATAACTGGCACGGAAGTTCCACTAAATACCATTCATAATTGCCTTGTGGATATCTAAAGGAACTTGGTACAAAGGACGGAAGGAAGTTAATTTCTCCTCTGTTGCTTGCAGACCCTTAATAGTTTTATACCTAGGTAGGCATAATACATCTCAGCATAACTGTTGGGTTAATATCAGCTGTTTAAAATTAGCTCCACCGCTCAAGAGATGGTCGGATAAAATATGCTAAAAATGATGGGGTGAAATAAAATACAACAGGTTGTTTTTTCCAGAACCGCGGCATAAGCACATCCTGTTGCCAATGGCCTGTCTAGGCCAGCATCCTGTTCACAGGGACCAAAAGGATGTTCCAGAGGTCCTCCAGGATCATAGAGGTGTTACTAGAAGGGCCCCCCCCTTCTGCTTGGTTGTGAGTTGTCATTGAATACAACCTGGGATGGGCTGTGCAAGGCAAAAATTGCCAGCGTCTTGCATGTTCTTACAAGAAGAGGAGCCTTGGGCAGGGAGGGATATACATAATTATAATAAATCAGAGCCTTCTCAGAAGTAGAGCATCTGCTTTGCATGCAGAAGACCCCTGGTTTAATCCACAACATCTCCAGGTGGGATTGGCAATGTCTCATATTCTGAAACCCTAGACAGCGACTGTCCACCTGTGTGGACAATGCAGAGTTAGGTCTGACTCAATATAAGACCGCTGCTTATGTTCCAGAATGCGGCAGCTAGACTGGTGACTGGGAGTGGCCGCCGAGACCACATAACACCAGTCTTGAAAGACCTACATTGGCTCCCAGTACGTTTCTGAGTGCAATTCAAAGTGTTGATGTTGACATGGACCTAAACGGCCTTGGTCCAGTATACTGAAGGAGCGTCTCCACCCCCATCATTCTGCCCAGACACTGAGGTCCAGCACCGAGGGCCTTCTGGCAGTTCCCTCCCTGCGAGAAGCCAAGTTACAGGGAACCAGGCAGAGGGCCTTCTTGGTGGTGGCACCCACCCTGTGGAACGCCCTCCCACCAGATGTCAAAGAGAAGAACAACTACCGGACTTCTAGAATACATCTGAAGGCAGCCCTCTTTAGGGAAGCTTTTAATGTTTAACAGACTACTGTATTTTAATACTTTGTTGGAAGCCGCCCAGAGTGGCTGTGGAGACCCAGCCAGATGGGTGGGGTATAAATAATAAATTATTATTATTATTCCTTACCCACAATATTGATATGTATGGGTAAGCCATGGTTAGCACCCCAGACATTCAGACCAACCGTAGTTTGTGCCCCTTCTCTGCTTCCACCCCCCATTTCCTGAGAACCCTAAGATGTTTCCCAAACAATGGTACGCAATGGTAGATCAGTGTTCCAAACCATGGTTCTTTTGGTACATCTGGAATGCAAAGTATAGTTCAGAGTCTCAAGTATGATTAGCACAAACCACACGGTTCGTGTTTCATCTGAAGCAACCCTGTGTGGAAGCTCTTGCTGGGCGCTACACATACTTGACCCAACTAATTTCCACTGTCCTTTGCAGGTTGATCTCTCGGCCATGTCTCTGCTCCTTGATTTCGTGGATGTGACCGACCCCAGCTTTGGGATAGCTGTCCTCTGCATCGCCTTTAACCCTCTTTTCTGGAATCTGGTATGTTTTGTCTGTTTTGCCGATTCACTGACCGGGAGTTGTATTTTTAGGTTTTCTGCCTGTCAGAGGCAGTCACCATGGTTTGGCCTACTTCTGCACCAGCGCTTCCTCTCTTAGCGAACTTTTTCAATGAGCGATGGGTTTTCTTTGTTTCCTCCTCCAGTGCTTGAATGCCCTTGACTCTTTGAACTCTTCCTTTGCTTTCTCCCGTTATGATTTTTATTATTATTATTATTACTGTTCTGAGGAGACACAGAGGCTGCAATCAATTGCTTTTACTCTGCCATGATTGCATGGTGCGGGGATTGAAAAGCCAATCAATTGGAAAGCGGTGAGCTCAGGATAGTGCTGGCAAGCCACAGTTGATGAGCTCTGCAGAGGCAAACAGGAGTGCACAAGAAAATGTTTGTCCAAGACCTGCAAATCTTAAGACTGCCTCTTTCCCGTGCGAGTCAACCTCTCTTGACTTGGTCTTTGTCATGTACTCGGGCCACAATCCTCCGTCTAGCTCAGAGGCAGACACCCACCCCTCACAGGACCAGCAAACCCTTCTTCTGTTTGGATGGCAGCCCTGCAGCCATCCCTCACTGCCTCCATGCTGTAGGAGCCAGTGGTTACAAACTAGGTCTGTTTAAAGGAACAGACAGCTGCTCATATGGGGTGGGGCTAAGAGGACCCGGCCATCCAGCCTTCAGCAGATCTCAGAAGAGTTCAGCATGCAGCTGAGGCAACAGATCTCCCAGAGGGAGTCCTAGCAAGCTCTCTCTGCTGGGAGCTCTCCAGGGTGCTGACAAGATGCAGTTTTGCTCCACTGTGCATGCTGCCACCCTGGTCAGGATCTGGCAGTTCCGACTACATGTGACAGGACTGCCTGACTTCCCTTGACCCTGCTGTCTGGGCTGCCCTATAGGTGAGTGTCATGGTGCTGACACAGCTGTCCTGGAAGTAGGTGTGACATCCTTGCTCCATTTGCCTGTGTGTGTGTGTGTGTGTGTGTGTGTGTTTGAAGTCCACTCAGCAGCAGTGAGGGTGTAGAGCAGCCTTTCTCAACCTGTGGGTCCCCAGATGTTGCTGAACTACAACTTCCCATCGCCCCCTAGCTAGCAAGGCCAGAGTTCAGGGATGATGGGAGTTGTAGTCCAACAACATCTGGGGACCCACAGGTTGAGAACTGCTGGTGTAGAGTCTTCACTGCAGCTGCCCCTAGGCTCTAGAATGACCTGGTGGTAGATGCCAGGAGTAACTCTGCCTTTTCACGCTACGAGACCCACCCTATTTTGGGCTTCTCTTGGTAGCCAATCTGAGAGAAGGACGGTGCTGGGTTTATTTATTTATTATTCACTAGGTGCTAGATTTTTCCTTTGTTGCTCAGTTTTTGCTGTCTAGCAACCAAGAGAGCTACAGCCCTTTCCCCCAAACTCAATAGGAAGGTAGGAAGCTGCCGTGTCTACTGATCCATGTGGCTCAGTGTTGCCTACACTGACTTCCAGCAGTTCACCAGGGCTCCCAGCCCTACCTGGAAATGCCAGGGGGTGAACCTTCTTCGTGAAAAGCTCATGCACTACCACTGAGCTTGGGCCCTTCCCACCAGCCTTCTAGAAACTTCCATTTCTGCCAGTCCCAAAATTCGACGGATGTTTAACCTGGGCAGGAGCCTCTGCAGCTACCCCTGAAGTTTCACTTTGTGTAAGTGCTGGCGACCGCTCAAAGTGATAGCTACAGGGGCAGCCAGAAGTTCAAGGCAAGAAGGGGCATTAAAGTTCCAGTTTAGCAGCAGCAAGATGACTAAGAGGAAATGAGCTTCGCTAATTTTCTGGAGCCCCTCTAGTCTCATTGGCGGGGCATTAAGAAGTACGAACAAACAACTAGAGCCTGAGCAGGATATGCCACCCACCATGCCGAGATATTAGATGAATTACCCGCAGCGGCTGTCAGGAAAAAAAGAAGGCATTGACAACAGAGTTATCGGAACAAAGGGAGGGAGGGAGCAAGTGCTGAGGGAGGAATGGAAGCTGGGTAAACGGTTGGAGTCAGATGACTTCTGGGATAGGGCAATGTTTTGCTTTTTGCTTTTTACTTTGGTCAGTCTTTATTGAGTTAAAATGAACACTTCCATACAGTATTTCATAGAATCATAGAATCATAGAGTTGGAAGAGACCACAAGGTCTCTTGTTTAGAAGGAAGAGACCACAAGGTCTCTTGCTTAGACAGCATAAGAAAGAAAGAAAAGAAAAACGCGAAATAAGGACAAGTGTATAAAAATCAAGGAAAAAAGAAGAGAAAAAACAGGAAGATCATTTTGGGATGTTCATCTTCACCACGGAGATTCTATCCCATAGCAAGAGATGTAATTTATTCCAGGTTTCCATTTTTTTTCTTAATCTCTTTCCACATTTTGACATAATTATCCTCATATAGATTGATACTTTTTCTTGAAACCCAGACCCCTGGATATTTTAATTTATTCTTTATCTCTAAGCCCGTCATTTCTTGAAGTACTTTGTTCTCTCCTGTACTTTTTAGTTAGCATTTTAGTTTTTGAGTAGTTGACTTTTAGGCCTGCCGTTTTTCCATATATTTTAATTAATTCCAATGCCACAGGAATGCTTTGCTCCGGATCTTGTGTTGTTATTATTAAGTCATCTGCGAATGCCCTGACTTTATAGGATTCCCCCCCCCCAATTACAACTCCTCTGTTATGGATGCTTTATGGTCCTTGACCACTGGCTACGCTGGCAGGCAGGGTGACAGGAGCGAACCAGCAGCAGAAGGCATGAAGTAAGTGGAGTTCCCCCTTTATTAGAAAGAAGAAGAGAAAAAAACCAGGATCTGCGAAGGAGTGTCAGGCCTAATGAGCACAGCCACTCTTTTTTGGTAGCTCTTGCCTATATGAAGCAGTTGCTGAGACAGAAGGTTCCCACAGATCATAGCTGTCAACCGTCCCTTATTTGGCGGGAAAGTCCCTTATCCCAGCGTCATGTCCCGCTGCTGTCCCTTATTGATGATGTCCCTTAAATTTCCCAGGTTTCAAAGGAAGCAGCTCCTCTCCCTCCCTCCCTGCCGGCCAGGGAGGAAGGAGGCTCCAACTGTGTTGCTTGGCTGTGTTGCTCACCCAATAAGGAGTCTAAGAACGACTGGGGGGGTGGAGTTTGCATGCCTTGTGCCCAGCCGCATTGCCTGGGAACTTGCCTTTGCTCAGCGCTTCCCAGCCGAGAGGTGACGGTGGTTTTCCTTGCTGCATCCCCTTTGCTGGGTTGCTGTGCTGTGGGAACGACCGCTTGAGGCTTCGTTTGGCTGCTGGCTGGGCTTTCTGCCTTTGGCTCGGAGGGGCTCAGAAGTTGAACATACCTGTGCCCAGAAAATCCCTTATTTTGGCTGCTGATCCCTTATTTTCGAGACTGCTGGCCCCTTATTTTCAAATCTGTAAGTTAACAGCTATGCCACAGATGCCTAAGTCCCCTCTTCTCCAGGGCTTTTCACCAGCAATTGGAGACTGCGCCTGTGTGAAGCCTGTCGCTGCCCGTTTCAGCCCCCTCCTGGTTCTGGGAGACGAGGGTGTGGAGGGGACAGGGAGACACCCAGGCCTCTTCACCAGCCAGATTCATTTCTGCCTCTTGGCCTCCCTCCAACCATTCACCTGCTTCAGCTTCTGCCTCTGATTCTGGGCTGCTCTCTGCCACAGACTCTCCCTGCTCACAAAGCCCTGTTCCCTCCTGAGCTTCCCACACTTCCTTCTCCTGATCTTCTCCCTCTTCCCACCCATCATTGCCCCACCACTACGCCCTGGGCTCTGAGCCGCCTTCCCTTCGTGGTTCCCCAGCTGGTTCCTCTCACCACTCTTTTGTGTCCAACCAGTCCAGGACACAGGGTCTGATGGGAGCTGGGAGTCCAGCCACGTCTAGAGGACCTCAGGTTCCTTCTCCCTGAGTGAGGAGGAGCTTGGTTGAGTAGGAGGGTTTGGAGAAGACATCTGTCAGGAGCTCTGGTGAGCGAGTGCCCACTGAAGAGCACAAGAAGTGCCTGCTAGATCTTGCTACTGCTTGTGGGGAACCTGGAAACAGGATTTGAGCACAAGAGCAACTCTCCCCTCCTGTGGCTTCCAGCAGCTGGTACTCAGAAGCATTAATAATAATAATAATAATAATTTATTATTTATACCCCGCCCATCTGGCTGGGCCTCCCCAGCCACTCTGGGCGGCTTCCATAAAAACCACAAATACAGTAAAATATCACACGTTAAAAACTTCCCTGAACAGGGCTGCCTTAAGATGTCTTCTGAATGTCAGGTAGTTGGTTATCGTTTTGACATCTGCTGGAAGGGCGTTCCACAGGGCGGGCGCCACTACCGAGAAGGCCCTCTGCCTGGTTCCCTGCCACTAAGCATGGAGGCAGAGCACAGCTGTCATGGCTAGTAGCCATTGATAGCTTTCTCCTCCTCCAGTTGCCTTGTAAAGCTATCTAAGATGGTGGCCATCACTGCCTCCTTGGAAGAAATGGTTGTAATAATAATAGTAATATTTTTTTAATTTATACCCCGCCCTTCCTGGTTCAAAAACCAGGCTCAGGGCAGCTAACAACAAATTTAAAACACTTAATTGTAAAAGCAGCATCAAATACAGTATAAAAACATGAATAACAATAAAATTCAGAAATCAATTTAGGGGAAATAAGCATTAGATAATCCCCAGGGCTAGCTGGTTGAATTGGTCCTACTTGGGCCAGCGTGGAGGCCAGGGGAGAATTAGCTGTGGGGTCCCAGAGCGGGTGATCTTCATAAAAGGGGAGGGGGAGGGAAGAGAAGGGAAATAAAAAGATCAGGCTGAATTCAAATTAAAGGCCAGGCGGAATAGCTCTGTCTTACAGGCCTGACAGAAGGAGGTTAAATCCTGCAGGGCTCTGCTCTCATGGGACAGAGCATTCCACCAAGTCAGAGCCATCACTGAAAAGGCCCTGGCGCTGGTGGAGGATAGTCTGACTTCCTTAGGGCCCAGGACCTCTA